TTTTTTTTTTTTTAAGATTCTACTGTTGGTCTAGACTATTAAATTTGGCGTCACAATGAGCCTCATCTTTCACCAAACTGTGCACTAGGAAAAGCTCAAATGGCTGTATTTTCTTAAATATGGATCCAATAGCATTAATACTGAAAATTCAGAAAAGTATAACCAAAGTAAAGCATATGAAGGCTGGCAAATCTGTTGTGCATACTTTTTAAAAACTCTATAAATGGTTTAGATTTTGAATTCTTAGCTCCAATAAGAAAGTCATCTCACACCAATCTGTGCCTCAGCAAAATCCTTCTTACCTCCCAATTCTAAACTTCTAGACAGTCACTCGAGAAATAAACTGTATTCCACCAAAATACCTTGACACATGTAGATCAAGAGCTTTAATCTACTTCACTGCCATGAAAATAAAGAAGAATTATTCTTAGTTTAAAAGTGTATGTAATTATTTAATATAGTAAGTTATATTCAGTAAAAAATAATTACTGTACCAAAAAGTTTAGAACTGAGTGAATTATTTTTAAGGCATGGTATACAGGTGAGCTATTAACAAGATCAACAATATAAAAATTCATATTAGCATATCTTCTAGTTAGTAAGGCCAGGAACAACAGGAACCCATCTTGACACAGACAGAGGAAGCAGGTCGTGCTCTTAGTGACAACCAAAGCTGTTGATTTGGTACATACATTTCTGCAGGGATGTCATCATTGTCTGGACTTAATTTGACTTCCTTATCATGTTTGCGTCCTGCAACAAATTCACATAAGATAGAAAGTCCCATGGTAATTTCACTGTCGTCCCTTAATCAGCTCAGGACTTTTCTAATTTGAAGTCTATAAATTTTGGATATTTATACTGCTGAAAACTAATTTTGAAATACTGTACCACTAAAGAGGAGAAAAATATCCAACTTTATATTTAGAGAATTTACATTTCTAACAAGTATTGTACTACAGTACTGTATCTTTCTTCTTTCAACGCACCAGCCATGTCTCACTGAAGCAGGGTGGCCCAAACAGAAAAACGAAAGTTTCTCCTTTTACATTTAGTAATATATACAGGAGATGGGGTTACTAGCCCCTTGCTCCTGGCATTTTATTCACCTCTTACGACATGCATGGCTTACACAGGAAGAATTCTGTTCCATTTCCCCATGGAGAACAGTACTGTATAATCTTAAGTAACGAAAAAAAGAAAACTACCATACTGTAATTTTATACTGTACTGTACTATACTTACATTATGCAAACAAATTTTGGCTAATTTAGTTATAAATCATGGTTCAATGTATTTTTTTTTTATTATTATTATTAACACATCAGCCGATTCCCACCAAGGCAGGGTGGCCCGAAAAAGAAAAACTTTCACCATCATTCACTCCATCACTGTCTTGCCAGAGGGGTGCTTTACAGTACAGTTTATCAAACTGCAACATTAACACCCCTCCTTCAGAGTGCAGACACTGTACTTCCCATCTCCAGGACTCAAGTCCAACCTGCCAGTTTCCCTGAATCCCTTCATAAATGTTACTTTGCTCACACTCCACAGCATGTCAAGTATTAAAAACCATTTGTCTCCATTCACTCCTATCAAACATGCTCATGTATGTTTGCTGGAAGTCCAAGCCCCTCGCACATAAAACCTCCTTTACCCCCTCCCTCCAACCTTTCCTAGGCCAACCTCTACCCCACCTTTCCTCCACTATAGATTTATACACTCTCGAAGTCATTCTGTTTCATTCCATTCTCTCTACATGTCCAAACCACCTGAACAACTCTTCCTCAGCCCTCTGGACAACAGTTTTGGCAATCCCGCACCTCCTCCTAGCTTCCAAACTACGAATTCTATGCATTATATTCACACCACACACTGCCCTCAGACATCACATCTCCACTGCCTCCAGCCTTCTCCTCACTGCAACATTCATCACTCATGCTTCACACTCATATAAGAGCGTTGGTAAAACTGTACTCTCATACATTCCCCTCTTTGCTTCCAAGGACAAAGTTCTTAGTCTCCACAGACTCCTAAGTGCACCATTCACCCTTTTCCCCTCATCAATTCTATGATTCACCTCATCTTTCATAGACTCATCTGCTGACACATCCATTCCCAAATATCTGAATACATTCACCTCCTCCATACTCTCTCCCTCCAATCTGATATCCAATCTTTCGTCACCTAATCTTTTTGTTATCCTCATAACCTTACTCTTTCCTATATTCACTTTTAATTTTCTTCTTTTACATACCCTACCAAATTTATCCACCAACCTCTTCAACTTCTCTTCAGAATGTCCTAAAAGCACAGTGTCATCAGCAATCAATCAATATTGCAAAATAAATATACTTAGAGTCCAAGATTTTAGTGCATGAGAAAAAATGTTCTTTCATACTTAGAAGTTTATACATACTTTTGCTACTCACTAATAAGAGAAAACTTTTTCTGATAATTTTGAGTTCAGAGATGAGGGACAGACGAAAATTTAAGAAATACAGTACAGTCTTTAATATCTTCAGGTGCCAGGTTTGCAGAAAGAAACTAAAATTGTGTAGCAATACCCTGATTATGTCCCCCATTTAGCAACTTCTACAATTCTTGACTGATTTTTGACAAAAGCTGGAGGCAGTGGAGATGTCCTGTCTAAGGGCAATGTGTGGTGTAAATATTATGCAGAGAATTCGGAGTGTGGAAATTAGGAGGAGGTGTAGAGTTACTAAATGTATTAGTCAGAGGGCTGAAGAGGGGTTGTTGAGGTGGTTGGTCATTTAGAGAAAATGGATCAAAGCAGAATGACCTGGAGAGCATATAAATCTGTAGGGGAAAGAAGGAGTAGGGATTGTCCTCGAAAAGGTTGGAGGGAGGGGATAAAGGAGGTTTTGTGGGTGAGGGGCTTGGATTTCCAGAAAATGTGTGTGAGCATGTTAGATAGGAGTAAATGGAGACGAATGGTTTTTGGGACTTGACGATCTGTTGGAGAGTGAGCAGGGTAATATTTAATGAAGGGATTCAGGGAAACTGGTTATTACAGATTTAGCTGGACTTGAGTCCTGGAAATGGGAAATACAATGCCTGCACTTTAAAGGAGGGGTCTGGGATATTGACAGTTTGGAGGGACTTCTAAACTGTTGTATGTGAGTGCCTCTGCAAGGATAGTGATTATGTATGAGGTGAAAGTGTTGAATGATGATGAAAGTATTTTTTTGGGGGGGACTTTCTTTCTTTTTGGGTCACCCTGCCTTGGTGGGAGATGGCAGACTTGTTGAAAAAAAAAAATAATGAACATCTAAGTAGTAGGTTGGTAGACAGCAACCACCCAGGGAGGTACTGTATTACTGTCCTGCCAAGTAAGTTTGAAATGGAAACCTGTAATTATTTTACATAACGGTAGGATTGATGGTGTCTTTTTTCTGTCTCATAAACAAGCGGGATAACAGGTATATCTTGCTACTTCTACTTACACTTAGGTCACACTACACATGCATGCACACACATATACATTTACATTTACATATACATTTACACAACCACAAATAGGTGAGTACACCCATCCTGGGTTTTCTTCAATTTTCTAAATAATTCTTGTTCTTTATTTCCTCTTCTCTCCACGGGGAAGTGAAACAGAATTCTTCCACCATAAACCATACGTGTCATAAGAGGCGACTAAAATGCCAGGAATAAGGGGTTAGTAACCCCTTCTCCTGTATAAATTAGTACTAAATTTAAAAACAATAACTTTCGTTTTTCTTTTTAGGTCACCCTGCCTCGATGGGATATAGCAGGTTTGTTGAAAAAAAAAAAACATTCTCACCTGCAATGATAGGGCCCATAGGTGCCACCTGGTTTTGTGAGGTATATCCTACAACTAATGGTGGTTGCCTCATGAGTACCTCGCCACCCCCCCTCACACTCACGGAGAACATCCACTGCCAATACTTGAGTGCGAGCCTCTGGAGCTAGGCCAGGATACTTTTGTAACCATTCAGCTAATGCATGAAAATCTGAAAAAGAATATGTTAGTTTTCAAAATTACTGTTAATGCTCTAAATATGTATGCTTTAGATAAAATAGCATAGAAAAACCTTGAAGAATATGGTTACAAAAAATTTTATGTCAAGCATGAATAAACTATAGAATATACATTTAACGATCATTTACAAACCTTTTAGTAACTGTTGAGCACCCCAGAGCGAAAACTTAATCTTTTGAACCCTGATGTGTTCCAGCCATGCATAACACACTACTTTTAAAACAGTAGCTCCAGCACGCCGCTGCAATACCACACCAAGCTTTGAGACAGCATCTAACACTGGTTCTAGCACTGCAGCTGTGAGAAATATATGCAATGAGCATATGTCACAAAATTATGGTTAGAGCATTTAACAACTGCTTTAATCCACAAACTGGAAATAGAAACTTATTGCTTAATAATGGACAAGTATAAACAAGGTGTCACTTAATTTCCATTTATTTGAGAGCTTGTTATTAATATTTGTATTAAGTATTATACTGTTCAAAGATAACTGGATTTTGGAATCAACAAATCAATTTGCTGGAGGGCAGTTAAATTTACTAATTAAATGGATGCACACCTGAAGCAATTCCAGAGGTGGGCAACTAGCCTTGTACACCCAAATCCTTGCTTTTTAATCTGAAAAATCCTTACCCATTTAATATGCTTAACTAATAGAGTGCCTCTGCAACTCATATGCCTTATTGTAATGTTCTATTTTTTGATGTATCAGCTGTTTCCCCACTAATGCAGGGTGATTTAAAAAGTAAAAGCATGTTCACCATCACTTGTTCTCTAGTTCCTGTTCAATGAAATGAATTCACTAATTATGCAACAAACCCATTAATGATGTAACCAAATCTACAATTCTTACAAAGAATTTGTAATAAAGTTGGTAGAATTACCGACAATATGTAAAGTAAAAGGACACAAGTGCAACTAATGTGACATTTTATTGTGGCAACGTTTCGCTCTCCAGGAGCTTTATCAAGCCATTACAAACAATACATGGACACAGAGGGTATATATAGGCTCAGAGTGAGGTGCAATACTAGTGAGGTACCATTTCGATGCTCACTAGTAGTGGTAGTAGTAGTAGTGACAAAAGTAATACAATATTGTAGAGCAATTTAATTCGTACATGAAAAAAGGATATAAAAGCTATTACTTGGGTAACATAAAAATAGGTTGGACAAATATAGACTGGAAAGAGGCAGCTTCTTTCAGTGTTCACTCCTTGTATGTGCTTGTGTAGTATAACAGGAGAGACTATGTGATGGCAGGGTTTACTGTTTTTCAGGAGGA